TCGGGCCCACGGCCTAGGGCTGACGGGTCCGTAGCGTTTTTTTTTTTTTTTTTTTTGAGACAGAGTCTCGTTTGTTGCCACGGGCTAGAGTGAGGTGCTGGCGTCAGCCGACTAAGCTCACAGCAACCTCAACTCCTGGGCTCAGGCGATCCTCCTGCCTCAGCCTCGCCGAGTACGTGACAAGGGCAGGTGCACCACCCAAGCCCGCGCTTAATTTTTTTATATATATACTTAGTTGGCCATTAATTTTTGTTCTATTTCATAGTAGAGACTGGCGGTCTGGCTCTTGGCTCGAGGCCTGGTTTGAACTCCTGATCTCAAGCAAGCCCCCACCCTTGCCTCCAGAGTGCTAGATTACAGCGTGAGCCAGCGCGCCCGGCCCGGGTCTAGGGTTTTAATACAGTGTGGGCTGGGGGCATGAGGGACCAGGACGAGAGGGACCAGGACGAGAGCCGGGACTGCAGCCTGCACAACTGGGCTGGGCAGTCCTATTTCAGGGAAAGAACCAGAAAAATGGCCCCAGCTGCACGGGGAGGCTGGCGGGGGCGGGTCTGCCGTGGCCTGGACCCTGCGAGAGCCTCCCAGAGACCCCGCGCCAGGCCCGTTTTCACAAGGCTTTTATCTACACGTGCCTGTTGAGGGTGAGGTGAGATTTAACAGAAAGGTTTGCCCCTGGCTGGCCATGTCTCTACGGCACCAGGCAGGAGCCAGCCCGAAACTCCCCCGAGAGGGAAGCGTGTGCTGCTGGAGGGACGGCACAGCACCCCAGGCGTGGGGCCCGGGAGCGGGAGACGCGCGGCACGCAGACCCACACGCAAAGGGCAGGGCCACCCCAGGAACTGCAGACGACAGAGGTGTCGGGTGGAGGCCGAAAGGCGCATCACTCTCACGGCTGGGGCCGCAGACAGAGACCCACAGACGCGGCGGCGGCACCAGGCACTGTCAAGAAACGCCGGCGCGTCTGAAAAGGGACCTGGAATTTTTAGAACTGAGAGACTCGGCAGCTGAACCAGAAGCGCAGTCAGCAGTTTCAGCGGCCGATCGGATATAGCCGCAGGGAGGGCGGTGGGCCGGCCGCACCTGGAACCCGGGTCCAGAGCCGGAGGGGGATGGGAAGCACGGAGCAGGCGTCCGGAGCACGGTGGGGCGGTCTCACGCGGGAGGCCGGGAGGGCAGAGCCACGGGAGGGGAGACATTCCCAAAACTGCTCCAAGATCTGAGAGAGAGCTCTCAGAAAAGTCCCGCACGCCAGACACGCTGCAGCGCAGCTGCAGGACGCTGGGGACGAGAGATCTCGGAGCAACCAGACGGAAAGCGACGGAAACCACAGCTGGACTGAAAGCCCCCCCCACCCCCAGCAATAACAGAAACCAGAGGACGGAGGCGGCACATCCTCAGCATCCGGGGGAAAGCACCTGTCAACAACAAACCCCAATCTCAGCGCTGACCCCGGGGCCTCTGCTCACGCCCTCCGGAACGGGTGCGGGCCAACACAAGAACACGCGCGCGCCGTCGGCAGGCCTCGGGCAGGGCCTCGGACTCTGAACTAATCATAAGGGGGATAAAGGCCGGTTTCTGGGAATGCTCTCTCCATGCGAGCTACAAGGGTCGGGAGAAACTGCAGGGGAGAGAGAGGGTGGGAGAGATCTCACGGGGGACCCGAGCTCAGCTCCCAAAGACACGGTGCGTCCTGAGTCCTGCAGAGCCCGGCGGGTCAGCACCGGCTGCGGTGGGCGGGGGGGCGCCCGGAGGGGCGGTCAGCGGGCACACGCCCAGGGCAGCAGCCTCAGGCGGCGCCCCCGTGGCAGCAGGGGGAGGTGGGGTCCTGCCCAGCTGCCCCTGGAGACAGCTCCACCACACCAAGGAGCAGCCACTCCTGGCCGAGAACCGAGAGCACCCTGGCACCACGGGCCCGTCCTCAGACCGGCAGAAACGAGGCAGGGCGTGGAAGAGAAAAGCAAAGCTTTCTCAACAGAAGGCGAGATGCTGAGGAGCAGCAGAGGAGATTAACACTGCAGGAAGAACCAAAAACGTTTATCATGAGAACAATGAGGGAAAAAAGAAAACAGAAGAGAAGAACTGGACAGGACGGGAAGGAAAACGACAGGATCCAAGGCAGCCAAGGGGACCCAACATAGGCAAAGTAGGGGCTCAGAAGACGACGATGGCAACATTCGAGCCAAGTTCAAATTTAACTCTACAGCTGAAGGACAGAGTCCCGCACTAAAGGCAGCTTTCCTCCTCACGCGGAGACAGCACTGGGGTTGTCAGGGAAGACCCGCCGGAATGGTCAGCCTCAAAACACAGTGACGACGACGAGAGCAAGGTGGCGGCCAGGTGAGCGGCGGCCACTAGTGACGGGACACAGGCCGAGCAGGGGACAACTGGGGTCCATCTGCACGGAGTCTCCGGCTCCTGTAGGGGTTCACGCCTCAGACGCAAACCGGGACCCAGCCTCCGAGCATGGGAGGACTCCGGAACCCCTAAGGCCCGCCCCGCCGCCCCAGTGCCGAGGCGCGCTTAGGCTCCGGCGCGGATGAAGCCCGCAGCGTGTCCTCCACGCCCCCAGTTGCAAGTAGTTGAATGGTGTAGGTCGGTCGTTTATCAGCGTGTTTCTCTTGTACCACTTTGCCGACGTCGAATCCTGGAGGTCAAGAAGCAGGCGGCTTCAGGTCCGGCACTCGGCAAAGGGACGGGTCTTCCTCCAGGAGAGGGCAGGGAGGGCCCCCCGGGGCAGATCCCGAGGGTCCTCCCCTGAACTGAAGAAGGGATAGGACCTGGGGCAGGGAGCGCGCCCCAGAACCAGGGCGTTGCTGGGGCCCAGGGGAAGCGCAGCGGAGAAGGGAAGGCTCCAGACCCGGGCAGGTTCCTGGGTCGGCCCTGCTGCCACCGGCTACTCGCGCCAGGGGGCGCGCGGACCACGCGGTGCCCCCGACAGGACCAGCGCGCCCTAACCTGAAATGTCCCGGCAAAGGCCCAGCAGTGAGCGCCGCCCCTCCCAGCCCTGTGCCCTGGTCCGTCGCGCTGCCCTCGCTGGCCAGGTCGGGCGCCGGCAGGTTGTGGGGGTGTGCACACCACCCGGGGGCCCACCTCAGCGACAGAAGCTGGAACATGCCTGTCAGCCGTGGCCGGGTGGGCTTGCCCCCGCCACCCTCCTCCCA